GTCGAATAGACTCTGGCTTGTGTTATATAATATCTCGTCTTCAGGGGCTGCTAGAAGCTTGATCTAGAAAGGCTAGAACGGGCACCATTCTAATAACAATCAAATTTGTTAGGCGTTACCATGTTTTTGGTAGTCACACGATTAGTCACTAGCGTAGCTCTAAAAGCATCCTAACGTTTTGAAGAGGCATTTAAACCTTAGAATGTATTGCTGGATGCCAGACACACAGCACACTACTGTCACTACTCTCAAAGTAATCCAGTGTGTATCTTGAACAATATAATCAATATGTGTGGCATCCAGGCTACTATATTGTCTGTCCTGCGTGAACTGTCCCAAACAGTACGCCATCACGCCCTCAGTGCTAATGGGATCCCAGCGTGTACTCACTCGATGCCTAGCTGCGCGCAGACGACTTTGGCGTCCTTCTCGTCCCATCGGTCGTCACAGACGGTCCCCCACTGTCCGTTATACAGCACCTCCACACGGCCCTCGTTCTCACTGTCTCCGCCGACCAACCGGACCTGGTACTCTGAAACGTCAATCAGAAAACATGGATGTAACCTTCTCCCTGCTGCCCATGCGTAGACAACCAAGGATTGGTAGTCAAACAGCTACTACAGTGTGCTAAAGGTCAAGCAGCTGCAAACTTCTAAGAGTGACAAAATAGAACCCCAACTTTACACATGCTTTAAGAGCGATTAAAGAGGGGGTTGTAGGTGGCCTTGTGGTTAGGTTTGTTGCCTAAGAATTTTGTTGCCTAAGAATCTAAAGATTCTGTGTTCGTATCCCTAACAAGCCCAAATGCTTTGCTCCTAGCCCCCTGGGAAAGGCGCTTGTGACAATAACTACGTGTAGTTTTAATACGAAACGACGCCATGCGCACTCGGAACTGTGAACTGGCTTACACGAAAATCCGCGTGTGACCGACCTTGTTGTACCGAGCAGGTAACGCCCGCGTCCTCGGAGTGATCGCAGTTGTTCTCGCCCCAACCGTTGCTGCTGCAGCTTGCGATGGTCTCCTCGTTCCCTCGGCAGATGACGTCATCCAGCAGGATGCTTCCCGTTCCCCTGCCGAAGCGAGCTCGTGACCAGGCTTTGGCCGTGCCTCCACTAGACGACAAAGACAATTTTAAAATCTTATCTCCAAGCAGATCATACGGTGGCAAGGCAGCATCCATTGACCAGAGGAGTGTTCATTAGGATACTATCTGGCTAATGGATACTGCCTGGCTAAAGGATACTGCCTGGCTAAAGGATACTGCCTGACCAGTTTGATACTGTCTTTTGCGGCCACCGAAACATCTGCTTGGAGATTACTTAAAATCCAGTTGCGGAAGTATTGTTTTGGGTGGCTGAGCTGTGAGTCGGTGTGCCTGCTTATCCGGACAGAGTAGGTTGGTAGTATGTGGATGTGGATGGGGAAGATTGACAGGCAGAATGGCAGGACGTCATTTTTTTACACAACCAATATATGCAAATTTTTCAAACAAAATGTTTGTTTGAGTGTCTAGGACCTTACCTATTCTCTTGGCCTTCTTTAGAATTAAGTATTTTGACCGTCTGGTTGTCCCTACGGCTACCGGCTACGGGTTCGAGGAGAATTTAATTTTAACGGAAAGTAACAAAGGTTTGGTACTCACACAAAGCCGAGCTCCCTGCAGACGACCTCTGCGTCCCTGTCGTCCCAGTTATCGTCGCAGATGGTTCCCCACTCGCCGCCGTGGTACACTTCCACCCGGCCCTCCGACTCCACGCTCCCTCCTACCAGCCGGACAGCGGCCGGGACTGAAGACTCCTCGGCTGAGGGGAAAACAAGCAAAAAATCAGCCTTGTGTCCAGTCTATCGCGGTTGGGGCGGATTTTCTTCGGGGCTGCTTAAGCTCTTTGCTGCCCGCCTCAGCTAGGTTCCCCGGTAGGTTTTTTACGACGGGAGATGATTAGCCCCATTGTGGTGGGGCGAATCATCTCCCGGTGTGCCAAACTCTATCAGAGGCGTAGCACTCCGGATCCTACCGGGCGGTCTGCTGAACTGGACGGAGGACAACCTGCCCCAAGCACGATAAACTGGATACCAGGCTAGCAAGAAATGGGTGACCTCATACTTCGGAGAAGTAAAAGTACTAGGGTTTTGCGCCCAGCGAACTCATTAACAAAGACACCAAACTGAGAAGACACTTACATGTACCTTCTTGGACCCCACACGTCACGCCCGCGTCCTCTGTGTGCCGGCAGTCCATCCTGTCCTCTGCAGCTCGCTCGCAATCCGCTAGGGTCGCTTCTGTGCCCTGGCAGCTCACCTCGTCCATGAGGATGGGGTCAGTGCCCTGGCCGAAGTGCGCACGTGACCAGGCTCTGACATCACCACTGAGTGGAAAACGTGTCACACAAAATATGTATTTCAACAGAATCGATCTATTCGAGGTCTCCCCGTGCCAAAAATGTATCCCTGGATGGCATGTTCATACAAACTTATCTATAATTTTGGAGCCGAGACGGGGGCGTTACAAACTAGGTACTACTGGCCCTCTAACCACATGTTCTTCAAAGAAGTGAATCAGTCATCTTTGAGAAGGCCGTTGAGTGAACCAAAGAGTCAGACTACATTCTTTTATACCATAGAGGTGATTCAGTAACCGCTATTTAAGCATTTAAGTGTGTGAACAAGTTTTACCCGAATCCGAGCTGCCTGCAGACCACCTGGGCGTCCCTTTCGTCCCACGAGTCGTCGCATACGGTCCCCCATCTTCCATCCAGAAACACCTCCACCCGTCCCTCCCTGCTGTTCGTCCCCCCCACCAGTCGAATGGTCGGGCCCGGGAGGAGCTCCTCCGACTCTGGGCGGGTCTCTGCGGAAGTGACGTCATCATGCTCGGTTTCTCCGGATTCCGGAATAGTGATTATTCCGGATTCGCCCGAGCCCGCCTCGGAGGTCTCTCCGGAATCGGTATCAGAGGCACCTCCGGACTCAGACCCGGATATGATTCCGGACTCACCACCGGAATTGATTCCGGATTCTGATCCGGAAGGAGGCTCCGTGACGGAGGTTTGAATGCTAGTGTCTGGCGGTGGGGGAGGAAAAGAGGAGGGAGTGCACGGTTAGGAAGCAACAGACAGTCACAGACCCACAGTGCTCAGCCAAAGCTGTGTTATGGGGGTAACAGCCCAGCGACTGCGTGCAGTACGTGTTTGCATTCTACCACAACACACAGTGCACCGTCACAAGTGTTACAGTAAAAACGCTCTATCCAAAACAAAACTATGTAGCCTCGCGGACTCTTTGTACCGCTCTATAGCCCTCCTCAAGCTGACCCGCCAGTTCGGACACGTGATAGCAATGTTGGGTCAAAGGTGACCGGAAGTCTGTAGCGACCCCCGTCTCGCCAATCGGATCGTCACTTCCTTCACAACCACTCAAATCACAAACAATATTCTTTTTTTCATCAGGTCGCCCGTCAACTATGGCTGAGTGGATATGAAAGCCCTAAACGTCCAGCGACCTCTGACCTGCATCAAGTGTTTATAGGGTCACGTGTCCGACCTAGTGGGTCAGTCATCCTAAGGAAGGCTTTAGAGTCAGCGGCGAAGTCGGTGAGTGCTACATTTTTTTGTGCTAGATAGACATTCTAAACCGTTGTGTATGTTACCTTGATGATGAATACGTGACCAACAACACAGGCAAGCTCTCGTGCAAGCAAAGGGCGAACAAAGGGTAGGGAACACCCCTCTTCACCACAGCTGAATGGTTTATCCCAAATCATCCCCCGAACCCAGCAAAGTCAATCACCAGTACGCCACAACACCCACAGTTCCGATCAAACCGTATTACGAAGTCATTGATATACCATATAGCTCATGTATGAAACCAGTCCATTGGAAATACTAGTAAACGCCAGCCACACCACAGTATTTGGGTTAGGGTGGGGTTGGTTTGGGAAGGCCAATAGTTTAAGGTAGTGTTTAATGGTGCCTGAGGACTTTGGGGACATCTTAAAAATACTAGTTAGAATTACTTTTGGTCATTGAAATTTTTCATATAAGTACCTTATTGCAAGACAATAATTTATGCAAATTTTTATGACGTCACGATGACGTAATCTGGAGTTATGAGCCACGCCCCCTTTTTAGAAAAATCAATTTTCCTGGCCAGTGCTTTGGTTTTCATTGACCATATTTTGTAGAGAGGCGCACTATAGTGATAGCAAAAAACGTACGTCAGGATTTTTTTCTATCTTCAAATGTTGATTTTTTAATGAATTTTTTTCGTAAATTTTAACAGTGCCATACGCCAGCGGCCCTCCCCAGCACATAAAGCGGCGCAGCGTGTCGGCCTGACGTACGTTTTTAGTTTAGAAGCTTATGTTTAAAATAAAACAATTTTTGGTCCCTTTTCATTAGCAGTTTTGCCACAGTTTTGATCTAAAAATGCTGTATATGCTGTATGGGTTACATAAATGTCCATTTTGGAGCCAAAAAGAGCCGAAATCGCCAGGTTCTGGTCCGCATTCCAAAGGCCCCGATGACTTCCGGTAAAATGCGGGTCATTGACCCTTCAGCACGCTGTATTTACCATTCTGAGCCGCGATTTAGAAAAACAGGCCGGGGATATGTCCAGTAAAAAGAACAGCCCAAGCATCCCCATTCTTAAAGCGTGGGGGAGTCACGTGACCAAACCAAAATGGCGGACGACGACTTGGATGCCGCGAAGGACGCTGTGCGGTTTGCGGCAACATTTGGGCCGCTAGACAATCTTTTAAACGGCTATACCCTACGTAGTTTTGCAGGTGGACTTTCATGGACTATTCTGAGACCTTTCTGGAGAAAAACCGTCCGTGTTTTCTGGAGTTACGGACTTGTTTTTGATGCCTACCCCCGAAGTTCTTTGTTGTGTTACGGAAAGCAACATACTCGGAAAAAAGACTGAAAACATGGAGTTACCGGAGTAGATAGCCCTGGAGAAAAGCCTGCCCGTACGTGGTATGAGATTACTAGCGAATATAATTTTGTTGATTATGTGAATTTCTGTTGAACGTTGTCCTAGTAGACGTGTGCTTACAGTATATGATTTTTTTTACGTACGGAGTTTTATCTGCAAAATATGGACGATCCGTTATAAGCTGCCACCGCTGTAAACCGTAAAGATACTAGTATGTTCGTCGTTACAGTAAGATTGTGTATGCATTCCGCTCTAAGATAGCTTGAAGGTTGTTTGTATTGTATTTCTTTAAATAAAAAAAGAACGTTGCAGATTGGAAATCAGTTCTTGTGTCATGTTTGTTCAACTACATATAACAGTTACTACCGGTAGTATATTTACAAACATTTTGCAGTCGAAACAAACTCAAACGTTCCTTTTGGCAGTCAAATGTTTTTTCATAGGAAGTTGTTGGCGTAATCCATGCCTTTTTCTTGGTGATTTCTGTGGTATATTTCCAGTTGAATATGTGTTCCGACTTGATTAGCCGGCATGGCAGGTTTTCGTAAATTCTTTGCAGTTGGCAGATTTTGGTTACTTAGCGGTCTACAAATAACATGATGTACTGTATTTACAAACGCTCTAAGTATCAGGAAAATTGTCTTTTCCTTTCCCAATGGCAAAGTGAAGCTCACACACACTGTGACAGTTCACATTCCTTGCTTCAAGTGGCCCAGCGGAATCGTGCTTTCGCTTCAGTGGGGCCGGGGTGTGTGCACATTATTTGGAAGAGCACTCCATATTTGGAAGAGCACTCCATATATGGGATCCCGGATGGTAGATGGCGCGTAAAAATTGCGAACTTTGTCGTTCAATTTCGCGGTCAAAATGTGGCCCTGGCAAAAAATATGTTATAGATTATAAAAATAGACCAAAAAGTCTACCATGTCAGATAGAGTTTTTTTTCTATATTAGTATTTCCAAAAAGTCCTCAGGCACCCTTCAATATGACCTACATACATACGTGATATGGTATACACTTTACTCACTGTCCGTTCTAGTAACGTCCTAAAACACTATGATATTTGCCATCATTGCACTGCTTGAGAGAAGCGGTACAAAGTTAACCTAGGCGGCGACATACAATAGTTAGATAAACGGGTTTCATGCTCCAAATAACGAAACATAAAAAGTTTCACTGTTCACACGAACACACAAACAGATGCGTATCATTGTCCATCCAGCAGTACTGGCTACTAGTACGTTGGCTGAATAAGTGTATCGGTTACGTTTTTGTGTAGTATGTAACACGGCATCTATACCTGTGCTCTCAGTGACCGGAGGTCCCGGTGGAGTCAGGGACCGACAGACGACACCTGCCGCTTCTGCTTCCACACAGTCATGCCGGCCCCAGCCGTTGTGCTGGAGAAGAGAACATGGCCAAATAAGTAAGTTCGAGAGTCAGAAACTGTATTTCTCCCCTTGGTGGGGCATAAATCAACTGCAGGGTAGAAACACACACACACACACACACGCACACACACGCACATACTCACACAGCACAAACACACACACACACACAAATACCTGTTCTTGGTGCTGAATGCTGTCCACACAAAAAGATGCACATGGATACACACGCACACAGGACCTTCATGATATCAGCAGCTTAATCACTACGTGTACTACCTACCTGGCAATGCTATAAAGTTCTCCTAAATGTTTTGCTCATTTGGAAGATTGGGAAGAATAATTAAAGAAACATGCCCAAATACAAAGGGCATAAAGAGTATAACGATAACTGTCTGTATGATCGTACTTTTACATCTGTGAAAACACCCAGTGTTGTATCGTTCCTCCCACCTTGCAGTCCCTGAGAGACATCTCCGTCCCGGTGCACAACATGTCGTCCAGAACAATCTTCCCGCTGCTCTGCCCGAATCTTCCCCGGGTCGTCGCCTCTACGGCTCCGCTAGTGTGGGGCAGAAGAGAACGACATTTTTTCAGGTAAGCTTGGTCAAGAACGTGATTGTTCAATCATGGCGAACCGGGGCAATGAAGTCCTAACTACTCTAAGGACCATTCATTTGTGCATGAAACACATCAGTTTTCACATTAAGCGCGTGTTTGTCTCATCACATGTCGTGGAGCCCCCAAGATCTCTTTACAATTCTCTGCAGACGACATTATAGACCCTAAGATCCCATGATACTCAATCAGGAGACCCATTTTTGCAGACAACATTACACTCCTAGAATATCCCATAATACTCACTCATGCAGTCAGGGAACCCGTTTTTGCAGACGATATCATAGTTTCTGATGGCCCATAATACTCGCGCTCTTTGCTGACGACAGTAGCACCACCGACATCCCCGCCCGTCGCAGACGATATTGCGCCACCCATATGATATCCCATAATACTCACTCAGGAAAGCCCAGTTCCCTGCAGACGACATTAGCATTACCCGTATCCCATAATACTCACTCAGGGGACTCGATTTTCAACCAACGTTACAGTTTCTGGTGGCCCATGACACTCAACCATCTCAGGCACTTTGCAGACGACATTGCAATTTGGCGCCACCGACATCCCATAATACTCACTCAGGAAAGCCCAGTTCTCTGCAGACGACGTTTGCGTCCTTGATGTCCCACAGGTCGTCGCACACGGCCCCCCACTCGCCGTCGTGGAAAACCTCCACGCGACCCTCGTACACATTGTCGCCATCGATCAGCCGGATGTCGTAGCCTGTGTCCTGGTTATCTGTGGAGGGCGTGAATGGGGTGTGCAGTGAGACGTTAGGTGCTGCGAATATGCTGTGTCCAGAACCGTGCTTTAACCAGAACCATGCTCAAAGCACAGTTATGGATAGTTCACGCGTATCCAGAACCGTGCTTTATCCAGTATGATGCTCAGGCACAGTTCTGGATAGTCCACGCGTATCCAGAACAGTAGTAGTGGCTCGGGCAAATTCACATTGATTTCTTGGATACGTGGAAACTATCCAGAACTGTGTTTTTTCTGATCTTTTCTAGGCACGGTTTTGGATGCAATATTATAACGGATATCACAGGCAATGATCAATGATATAAAGAGAGAATAACAATGAGCAAATCGGGTTGCAACACTATCAATCGTTTGCAGTATTCCATCGTACAATATAGTTCTTAGTTAGGTTCATATGTTCAAGTCTTAGAACAGGACTTCCGTCCATTGATAGTTGAGCAATTAGTTAAAGAAAGTGACTGTCAGGCAGACAGAAGAGCGCAGCACACCAGTGTCAGTGACTCCAGAACATTCAGAGCCCCCATCGAAGAAACGTCATCTCGTTCCAGCTTTACCAGAAATGTTCTTGAGACCGCCAAAGACCATTATAGACGCCAGTAAGAAGGCAACCAAAACATAATAAGAAACAAAAAAGGCGATCGCACCATTGCCGGCACGGTAAAAAGATCAGTATGTCAGAGGTTTGGAAGAAAGAACCATAAAGGTGGCAAAAAAATTACCCTTTCCAAGAAACGCCATCTTGGATCAAACTTCAAGCCAAAAAGAGAACTGTAGAGAATGGTTAGTTGGCCCATAGGAAACAGTGAGATATGCGCATCAGCAAAAGGTAGGTAGTCAGTGAATCTCTTATCAATATGTGGTTATTTCCCGTGCGTTGGATCCGCAAACCACCGCCATGCTGAAAAGCAAACTCCTGGAGGGCCCAGCCCACCAAGGCCGTAGATATTGGCAACAGTACGCCATAGACTCGCATCCATTCCCAGCGACCAGGGAAAAGTACGTAGGGAGGTTATGTAGGGGAGTCCGCATGCAATGGTAGAACCAAGCCTTAGAGCAGAAAAAATCGCGAGACTTTGCAAAAAAAAAAGTCTCGCTAGACTTTACAAAAAAATCTCGCGAGACTTTGCAAAAAAAAAATCTCGCGAGATTTTACAAAGTCTCGCGGGTAAAAAATCTCGCGAGACTTTGTGGAAATCTCGCGATAATCGTAAGTCTCGCAAAATCTCGCGAGATCATAGCATCCTGGCGCGAAATTTTGTATCATGTACTAATGGATGAAGGAAGGCCGTTTATACTTGTACTACTAGACGGAACCGTCTAGGTTTAAGTTTAAAAGCGAAAGGAGCCGAAAGATATTATGTACTTGCAACGACCACGTCGTTCCCATAGATCAGGACTCCGGCCAGGCCCTGCCAGTTCACGACAGAGGCGCTCTGGGCGGGTTGCGGGTTCCAGTTGCCGAACAGGGTGGCCGGGGCCATCGGCCGGACCCAGCGTCGCCCGGAGCTCGCCGCTATCCACGCGGGCACGGCTGGAAGGAAGGCGACAGGTAATCTCACAGCAGATCATACGGTGGCAAGGCAGTATCCATTGGTCATATAGGAGGGCTGCAAGCCCTTTTTCGTAAGGCGTAACCAGGCATTTTTAGCCTTCGTAATCCGTAGGCAGCCTCCCCAAATCAGCGTGATCAGTACATTAGCCGTAACGCGTAGTTGTTCTGAGACTCTGAGACTTTAACGTAATTCGTAATCGGCAGCGAATGATAATTCGTAATCACCCCACCCCCACCCCCCCATGCAGGCCCTCATATAGAAGGGCCATCGGAGGCTAATGGACACTCATGTGGCCAATGGATACTGCCTTACCACCGTATGACCTGCTTGGAGATTAGGCCACAGCAGCAGCTACAGACATTACAGGGGAACTAGATAGGTTTGGTACTACGTATCTTACGCTATACGGTGTAAGGTACAAGTAGTTGTGCAGGTATTATATGTGATACTATGGTAAAAGTCAGAAGCAACATTGCAGAATCAGAAAGAAACGTTATTCGCCAGAGAAACCAGATTAATTCCTTGCGGGTGGGAATTTCGGCAACCAAAGCAAGGGGAGGGGGAAAAGGCATAGCAACATTCTACTTATACCACATATCTTACTCTGTACAGTACTATTAGGTAATAATAGATTATTGTGTTATATGTAATACTACGGTAAAAGCCAGAGGCATAAGTGCAGGATCAGAAACGTTGTTCGCCAGGGAAATCAGGTTATTTAGTCCTTGCGGGGTGGGGATTTCGGCAACCAAAGCGGTGGGGGGGGGGGGTTAGCAGAATCCCATCTGTATCAAAGACCATAGTTTATGAGGAAAGAAACAGCGACATCCATAAAAAGCTGTCTGCCATGAGAAGGGGGTGGTCGGTTTCCAAGGTAACGGGAATACACGGGGTAGGCGGGTAACCATGGCAACGGAATAAGAAGATGAGAAAGCCGTTGCCAGGAGCAACGGAGGTTCTTGAGAAGCAAAGCAGTAACCTGGGTAACGGAGTGGGTTCTGGTAACAAAGGGAACGGGGGAGGGGGCCAGGAAGAGGAGGTTCATGGGATAACATGAGGCATCCTTGTAAGCGAGAAGCAAGGGAAATTCGTCAGAAAACCAACACCACCGTTCATTTGGTCAGCACTGAGAGTAAGAATGTGATGTACATGTAACTTAAGGATCTATTCTATATATACAAGTAGAGGTTAACATGTTCCCAACTCTCCTGACTTATATATAGAGAGAGAAAGAAGTGTTGGCCGTCAAGCTTCCTGACCAACGGAAGGGTCTGCTAGAAGCGCCATGTAGTACATACAACCGTAAAATAACTTGTACTATACGTATAGCAGTACTAATTTTCTACACTCAATACTGCAAGTCCACACAATACCATACAAACTGTCTGACATACCACGACCAATGTAGTTCAGTGTAAATGAGGTGCGTGTACTAGTTACATGTGCCCTACCTTTTGTACATGTACAGTAGGCCCACTGAACTCTCCCGTCTGGTTTCCGATAGAAACACCAGGGTAGAATATCCTTATCGGGGTTTCTGTGGAAAGAAAACTTGTCTATTGATTATCATATACCGAAAGTGATCATCCACGTGATACTGACAGAAAATCAAGGAAAGTTATCTCCAAGATCTTTCGGTGGCCGCAAAAGACACAGTATCAAATTGCTCAGGCAATATCTATTAGCCACTTTGGTGGCTAATGTCCTCTTCTCTGGCCAATAGATACTGCCTGGCCACCGTATGATCTGCTTAGAGATTAGTGGAAAAGAGCAATCAAAACCCCCAGGTTTATCCCTTTTGCAACCGAAGCAACCACAAGACAACTTCTTGAGCATCAGAAAAAGCTTCTCATTAACTTGATAACACAATATCAGCATTGTACTGTCATGAAAGTTCATCTGTGTTGGTAGTTACATACTTAAATTAAAAACTTTTGGTCCAACACAAAAAGTTCTCTTACCTAGAGCTTTCGACCGGTCACTCTGGTCTTACCCAGTAGACTGACCCAGTGAGGCTTGTCACTGGGTCACTGGGTCAAAGGTACTTCTTGTGTTGGACCAAAAGTTTTAACTTTAAACAATATCAGCATGGGTTGAATCTGAGCCCACCTGCAGAAATTGTGGTCCCCTAGCCCGGCTTCATCCGGGAACTTCCCGGTGCTGACCAGGCTGTGCCAGCTGAGGCACTCCCCGCCTATTGACGTCATGTTCTCGTTCCCAACGTAGTATCCGTTCTCGTTCAGGTCGCACTCCTGGCCGTTACCTATAGTTTATAAAACAAGCTTTTAATCAATACATCAATTTCGTATTAATATTGTAAATTACGTCGGTAAAGGTTAGACATCCAGGTAATAGGATAAGCCAAAAGAAAGTAGTAGGTGCTGCCTGAAACGTTTGACTGTTATCAAAATCATATCCAGTTGCTTGAGTAATTGTTTTTTTGGCTTATGATTTAAATTGTTTTGTTGACTTTTTTGTTTCAAAAGCATCATAGAATTTAATTCATCCTCTTGCAGTGTGCATATATTTGGCAAATTTATGAAGACATGAAAGTTTTTTTTTATTATGTCATAAAGATAACATATATATATATATATATATGTAGGAGATGAGTTCTATGCATAGCGTAGAATCCAAAATGGCGGATGTTCGATACCCATGATCCCTTGCGCCGATCACGTGACTACCCACCATCCTTTGTGGCGCAGATGACGCCTGCAGCCTCGTTCTCGCGGCAGTTGTGCTCGCCCCAGCCCTGGTGTCGGCAGTCGGCCAGTGAGCCCTCCTCTCCCGTGCACCCTACGTCGTCAAGCAAAAACTCCAGGCCGCCTGAACCGAACGCAGAACGATTCGTGGCCTTTAGAGAACCCCTGGAAATACACGAAATGAGAGATTTTAGATTTCACTTCATTTAGTTATTGTATTTATCAAGAGGGCTAAATGAACAGGTGGTTTTCAAAGACCCACTGGAACAACAATTGTACATCAGCAACAAAAGTTTAATATCCTGTGTTGGTTCAGTCAAAACTGTCCAATTTTGATTAAGAAGACCACTCAGCTTAGGGGACTGTGAAAATCTGGTCTAAGTGGACAGGTGGTCACTATAGACAGGGTTGTGTCAAAACGTCTAAGCCGGTAAGTGTAATACTGCCACCTAGCGATCTATAACAGAAACGCAATTGCATGTAGGAAAACAAGCAAACTGACAAGTTCACAATAACTTTAATAGACGTTCGAAAACTAGAGCAGAAGTCCCGGACATATGACGTCGGTGAAGGTTAGACATCCAGGTAACAAGATACGCCAAGCAACTGGATATGATTTTGGAAACGGCCAGACGTTTCAGACGTTTCTATGTGTGTGCGTTCACCCTGCTGTATGGGTTTGTATGGGAGCCAGGGCGTTGCCCAGTACTGTACAGATGTAGAAGTAAGATCACCAGCGCCACACAAAGGAGGCATTTCACAGTTGACTATGTCAAACATTAATCTGTGCGCCTGTAACAGAAAAGCCCTTATGTTAGCCGCATGACTAATAGTCAGACTACATATCCCCTGATCTGTTCTGTACATCCCCACAGGCAACGCTGTCAATCATCGCAGTCAGGTAAACCGGCGCTCACGCAGGTGTGGGGATGGTTTATAAACATACACATGGGTGGTGGGGCCGATTAGTTGAAATTGAAAGCTAGCTATATATATAGCTCAATAAAGAATGTCAATATTCTATGACTGTGTCTTTCGTGATAGAAACACACACACGCACACACACACACACACACACACACACACACACACACACACACACACACAAACACGCACAAAGACTTACACACCACATGTGATTTCTAGATTTCGTTTTAATCATTCCTCTCTGATTCTGTCCATGCATCAGCCCACTAGCTTGTTAAAACGTACAGACGGACTGTAAGTCTCGGGGAATGATACCCGGAGCTTCTCAGTAATCATCTTGGCGCCTCACATTGTGCGCCTGTCTATCATGGCACGTCTATAGAGCGGACAGACACTACCATGTCAGGATGACTGGCCTGGGTACCACCCTATATAGATTACCGGGCTACACGTATGGGTAGTCTGGAGGCTAGCCTCAGCCAGCCTGATGCTCAACCTAGTAAAATTTCCTCTGGGATATGTTGGTCCTGGAGCCGAGGAATTGGTCTGTATACTGGCTCTGGCAACAGTCTAGCACCCAGGCTAGCCCTTGGAGTAGAAGAGTTAACCTGGCAAGTCTGGCACCCAGGCTAACTATGGGAGTCGAGGGGTGAGCCTGTGTACTGGTCCTGGCAACAGTCTGGCACCCAGGCTAGCCTCCGAGCCGAAGAGCTAGACCTGGCAACAGTCTGGCACCCAGGCTAAGTATGAGAGCTTCGGTAAGATGGCACCCAGGCTAACGGCCTCCGACAGTGAGAGGCTGTAACGCAGGTTAGCTAGTGCAGAGGAATAGTCTAAACATCTCACGAGGTGGCCTTGGTGTTTGTTTGAACGCTCATGATCTATGAATAATGATAGGGGCGTGAGAAGCGAAAGTTTAACAGACGTAATCCACAAGCAGATGCATTGAGGGGGAATTCAAACGCTTTCTTACTATCGACTATTTGCAAAACGGAACCTGCACAGTATATGTTACGAAGGCCCACAACGACACTTTCATACACCTCTTGCACAGCCCTTCCACACCGCGCTGCCAAGGGATATACCTGCCATTCACCTCTTCCACAGTCCTGACACACAGCGCTGCACCTGTAGCTGTATCTGCTTGGAGATTTTGCTTCCAGATGAAAAGAATTCCAGTTTGCGCTCTTTTACGTCACATCAAAAACGTGGACACATGTATCTAAGAAGATCGCCTTTAACACCATAATTTTAGACGGTTTTGTATCCTACAGGAAATCTAACAATCTGATGATAACCGTGTGCTTATATACAATGGTCTACTTAGCTAACTGGGTGTGTTGCCACTGTTTCCGGACTTAGAGGGCTTGTCAAATTTGTGATTTATCATAGGTTGTTGATCGACCGAGTTGTGGAGGGTAGTGGACCGAGTTGACCGAGTTGACCGAGTTGATCGAGTTGACCGAGTTGACCGAGTTGATCGAGTTGACCAGGGTAGTGGACCGAGTTGACCGAGTTGACCGAGTTGACCAAATTGATCAAGTTGACCAGGGTAGTGGACCGAGTTGACCGAGTTGACCAGGGTAGTGGACCGAGTGGACCGAGTTGACCGAGTTGATCGAGTTGACCAGGGTAGTGGACCGAGTTGACCGAGTTGACCGAGTTGACCAGGGTAGTGGACCGAGTTGACCGAGTTGACCGAGTTGACCAGGGTAGTTGACCGAGTTGACCGAGTTGACCGAGTTGACCAGGGTAGTGGACCGAGTTGACCGAGTTGACCAGGGTAGTGGACCGAGTTGACCGAGTTGACCAGGGTAGTGGACCGAGTTGACCGAGTTGACCAGGGTAGTGGACCGAGTTGACCGGGTTGACCAGGGTAGTGGATCGAGTTGACCAGGGTAGTGGACCGAGTTGACCGAGTTGACCGAGTTGACCGAGTTGACCAGGGTATAGACATTTTGTTCTCTGTTGGTTAGTACAGGGTCAGGCAGTGGAATGTTAACATTCTGGTAGAATAGAGAGCTATTTGATACCGCGAATGTTCATTAGTCTGTGTACAAAACATTCATGAAACTCTGCAACTTACGCAAAACTTTACCTGTAAGACTAATGATTATGAAGTTTAGATTTAAGCCTTACTATGCTCGATGTACGTACGGTACACTCTTGACATTATGCCATGTATTGTTGTGCGTTGTATTGAGTTATACTTAATAAAGATCTGTTTAAAAAAAACTTACGCAAAACTGCTTATTATCCACTGCCTTCGAAGACGAAATCAAACCCCATACGCCAAAAATAAGCCAAAACCCAAACCTCTGCTTGGAGAGTGAACAAGGATCAAATTTTCAACGCCTACTGTCGCCTTCATCAGGATACTATCTATTTCTTATTTTAGGGATTCGTGCAAAATGGCTACTTCAAAGGCGTCCTGACGTCCATAGAGAAGCAGTTTAAACTGACCAGTTCGTCCACCGGTTCTCTGGCCAGCGGGGCGGAGTTTTCGGCCCTCTGTGTTGTCGTATTTTTATTCACTTACCATCTATTTCTTCGTCTAGGGATTCGTGCAAAATGGCTACTTCAAAGGCGTCCTGACGTCTATAGAGAAGCAGTTTAAGCTGACCAGTTCGTCCACCGGTTCCCTGGCCAGTGGGGCGGAGTTTTCGGCCCTCTGTGTTGTCGCATTCGTCAGCTACCTGGGGGGGAGGAGCCATCGTCCCGTCATTCTCGGGCTCGGCGCATGCTCCATGGGACTGGGGGCCTTCTTCATGGCGATGCCGCACTTCTTCATGGGAAAGTTAGTGATGAGTTATTGAAACTAACTAGTTAGCAACTAATCAATTTAGCTTAACTAGTTACTGATCAGTTATCAATATCGAATCTGCTAGTTATCATCTAATCAGGTTTAGCTGCTCCTGACCAAGTGGAAAAGCATAGAATCACAGAAGAAAAGCCCTAGTTAATGATCAGTTATTGACACTAGCTAGTTAGCATCAAATCAAGTTTTGTCTCCTCTCACTTAGTGGAGAAGCATGAATATCACAGACAAATAGCCCTTCATTTAGCACCCGATGATTCCAAAGGTTTTTCAATGATTTCTCAAATTTAATATCTTTTTTAAATTATCGCAATGGCCAATGAATTTTGGTCCCTCATTGGCTGTAAATGAGGCTCAATCCGTCATAAGACGAGACCAGCCATTGGTCAAACCATTCAGTCCCCACATACATAAAATGTAACGTATTTCATTCTATATCATTACTACCTAAGAGAAGGCTCCTTATCACAACACAGTCATATGAAATTCATGAAATGCCTGTGTTTGCAGCTATGATTATGAAGCCCATTCCCTGGACAACGCGACCAACACGTGTCATGTCGGGCACTCTGAGGAGAGTGACGTCTGTACTGCAGCTCAGGAATCTGCCGCTGGCGGTAAGGATTGCTTTGTTTGTTTACTTGTTTGTTTATTTGTTTATTTGTTTGTTTTACTTCACATGGCCAGTACGCCGCAAACAAGGCATAGCACGCACTGTGGTTTTCCAGTAGATACAGTTAGCTATGTAACTGCATTTTACGGAACAGATACCAATTTGCATCATGACAAACCAAATAGCCCTCAACCGAGACGGGGGTCGGTATCAACTTCCTGCTATTGGCAAATCTATTTCATTCTATTTCCACAACCACAGGTGGATCATATTACGGTTTACTGATGCTGGGAGAGCTTCTGATTGGAGCAGGCTCCACTCCGATGATGACTATAGGCGTGGCTTATCTAGATGACCACGCCCCCAA